AAGATGTGTAATGAACAGAGGGAGGTGCCAAAGGTCAGGGTAGTCTGGAAAGAAGGCTGGAATCAAAGACAGTCTTACAAGCACAGAATCAAGAGAAGAAAGTTGATGGGCTAAGTTCTGGGGTCAGAGTAGAAGAGTGCCATGTGATATGATGGTGGGGAAAGTGATTAGCCTGGAGCAAATGGTCATCATGAAAGCTGGAAAATAGAAAACAGACTGGAAGATCTTAAATATCAAGAGACCTGAGTTTCATTCTGGAAGAAATGTTATTCCTGGAATCAAGGTACAAAGCAACATATTTATGGGAGGAACATGTAGGAAGACACTATTTTGAGTATGTCACCCGAAGTTCATGTTGATGGTATTGGGTGGTGGGGCCTTTGGGAAGTAACAGGTTAGATGAGGTCATGAGGATGGGACCCTCATAATGGAGTTAGAGGCTTTATGGGGAAGAGATCTGAGCTAGCAAACTAATACTTTCTGGCCATTATGATCTCCTCAATGTTGACACACAAAGTAAGACCCCTACCAAATTCTTAGCACTGTTTTTCCCAGCCTCCAGAACACAGTGAAAGCAGCGTGTTCTTTATAAATGACTCAGTCTGTGGTACTGTTACAGTATCATAAAAAGGACTAAGATAACAGACAAAAGCCAATTAAATTTTAGCAATGGTTAAAGATAATCTGATATGCTAGAGGACATAGGCTGAAGGGAGGAAAAGACCAAGAATACTGACAAGGTTTCAAGCCTATTGTCAAGTGGTCACACTGACAAAAACAAACCAATGAGGAAAACACATTCAAGTTCAAATGTGCAAGGTCAATAAGCAAGAATGGTTCCTCTATCACCAGCCATATCATACTAAGGTACATTAAAATCCAGAAAATCATGTTATTTTGTTTTCTTGATCAATTCTAATAGTATTATCGATCATAGTACATGAATTCAGGTTGGTCTCTGAATCTAAGGTCTCGCTGCACTTTCAATCAGGTTGAAAGCATGGGTTAAGAAAGAAATGTATCTGTCACAACTGCCTGTAACTAGTTTCAAGGATATAAGGCCCTCTTCTAGTCTGAGGTCTGCACGTATGCGACCCCCCCAACCCCATGTAAATCTTCAAAAAAATAAATGCATCTATCTGTACCAAACATGTACATATTTCCTAAATATACTAAATACAACTCTTCTCAGCATTCAACCTGGGGTGTTTATTATAAAATAATTTAGAGATGATTTCAAGTATATGAGTACAGGCTCCATGCAACCAAGACACGATTGATATTATATAAAGGACTATAGCATCATCCTTGCTGCTGGGTCCACCAATGGCTCTGGGTCCCAAAAGATGCCAGCACCCTATTCCTCTATCCCAAGCTTAAGCCTTTTAGCCTCTGCCTTTTATGGACTCAAGATACCAACATTCCTCACAGTACTCGGGTACTTTTAACAAAGATCCTTTTCCTATAGAGAATTCTCCAAAGCTTCAGCTTGTTACATTTGAATCAAACTGCTTTAACAGTACTCAATGCTAGGTGCAGTTACTACTGTACCTTAACATTTTGCTCTCAACTTCTCAGTTATTTACTGATGGGACTTACATTCTTTACATCAGGAAGGGAGAAGTTGACAGACTTATACAAAGGACTGAGTTTACTATTTTCAGATTGCTGGCCAGGAGGTTTCTGTAGTGAACATTCAACTCTGCCACTGTAGCATGAAGACAGAGAAAGCAGATAAATGAGAATAGCAGCTATTTTGATAAATTTTTAAAAACACCAAAAGTTCATGCAATTTCCATGCTACAAACCATGACAGGCATGATAGCACCTGCCTGTAATCCAGCACTCAAGGATTTGAGGCCAGTCTGGACTACATAGTGAGACTCTGTCTGAAAAAGGTCTTTTGATTTTGATCTTCCACTTAAAAGTTAAAAACATACTTGGTATCTAGGCCATACAAAAAGAGGAAGCAGTTCAGATTTGGCCATGGTTGGTAATTTGCCACACAGTACTCTGAATTAATAAATGTATGAGATTACAATGCTTTATGGGGGAGGAATATCTGAAATGCAGGTTAGTGCTACAGAAGCAAAGAGAAAACTAAGTACAACAGAAAAAGTGACTTAACAGTATCACTCATTTATCAACACTGGAATCAACTATGCATGGAAAACACCTGCTATCTGCTGCTAGACTCAAAAGTCTCTGACACCAAGGAACTTACTCATTTCTCTATGGCAGCTCAGAAAGTTCTTCCTTCAAAACACAGCCTACCCTCCTCAGACTTCCACAAAGCACAAGAGTGGGCTTGTTTGAGGCCAGTGGTTTCTCTGGTGCCCGTCTCTGAGGCTGAGGCCAAGTCTGCGCTGCTGTATGCCCTCCTCTCCTCAGGACCCTTACTACTCTTCCTTTCCTCTCCTGCAAAACATTTTTCACATTAACATGTAAGGGGCAATACTTAGGAAGATGTACTAAAGATTGTTCCATCCTTCAAGAAATTACTGAAGCAGCATCTCCCCTTTTACTAAGTTCTGTATTTCCATGATCTTTCATGGCAACCCCAGTGAGGAAACCCATCCCTAAGGCAGAACAAGCAGGTCTCTTATGGCCAAAAAAAAAAAAAAGACATCAGAGAAACACTTCTCCCATTCTGCTGCTGATGCAACCAAGGGAGGGAGAAGAGGAGAACAAGAAAAAAAGAAAATATTTTTTTCAGAGTAAATGTATTTTATACAAATGAACATGATATGAAAAACAGAAAATAGGCGGCTGGAGAGATGGCTCAGCAATTAAGAACACTGGTTGTTCCTGCAGAAGACCCGGGTTCCAATCCCAGCACCCACATGGCAACTAACAACTGTCCATAACTCCAGTTCCAAGGGATCTGACAGCCTCTCTGTCATCCACAGGCACTTACCTACATGCAGGTAATACACACTCATACACATAAAATAAAAATGATAATATATATGTGTGTGTGTGTGTGTGTAAGAAAAAGAGAAAATATAGCTGAGTATATACTAATTGGTGTGTGGATTTTGAAAAAAAATACAGAAAATCCCCACATGTGAATGTGGCCAAGTAAGGGAAACAAAAGCAAGGAAATTAGTATAGCTAGTAACTAAGGGGAAAACAAATGGGCTTGCAAACAATTAATTAGTACTACAATCACTGTAACGTTATAATAGTAACAATGTTACAAATTATCTTGGTATACAATGGCACTTATTTGTCAGCATTCTTCTAAGAATTTGATTTAGAAAAATGAAGACAGCAAAATATTTAGCTGAGCCAAAAGAATTCCAAAAACTTGTGATCATGGTCTTCTCAAAAAAGTTAAGTACTTTTCAGAAAGAAATTAAGATGTTTGACCCAAGCCCCCAAAAGAAAAAAAAGGGACGGCATGACTACTTCCTGCCATTCTCCAGTGTTCTAACTGTAGTTTCAGCTATTCACATGGAAACAGGTGACAAGCAATTAGTTTTGCTGGGGCATGAATCTGATCCTACGTTAAGATATAACTCATGTGGGGAAATCACCTAAGGAATGCACTTAGTGGGCCTCCTGGCATATGACTCAAGAGCGAGGTGCTGTTTTTGCGCTCCTTTGCTTCAAGACACAAGCACATCTACTGTCCTACCATTCTCCTATTTGTTAGGGTTGGAAAACCTTTGTGAAACTCACCTAATTGCATCAATCACTGAAATAACTGTGGCATTGCAGGTTAAAAGAACCAAACAATGTCAATGCAATTGGCCCATGAAAAACTTTTCAGAGTAATTTAATTCTGAAAGTCCACATTTTCAACTTCTAGGTAACTAGAGTTTTACATTAACAGCTCCAAAGCATATTTTGCTTTTAGAAGTAGGAACAGCTGGGCACAGTGGCACATACCTTTAATCCCAGTACCCCGAAGGCAGACGCAGACAGATCTGAGATGGAGAGACCAGCCTGGTCTACATGAGTTCCAGTTGGGGCGACTTTCTCAAAACAAAACAAAACAGAAACAACAACAAAGAATTATTTCCCAACACTTACTGGTCATTCACAAAGTCAAACCAAGTATTTTACTGGAAACATTTAACCTTAATCATAATACCGAACACAAACATAAATGTTGATCAATTTTAAGTCAATTTCAAAGCATAGTCAACAGGATATACATTACAATGGAGAAGGCAATGGACAAAAATCCAATAAATCCACTGATCTGTATACAGTCGTTATCATTTTCACTTATATTTTTCTGCTGACATTTTTTTGGAGTCAGTCTCAGTATACGGTCTAGAATGGCCTCAAACTGGCTTCCACTGTGAACTCAGGATTACATGAATGTGCCAACAAGATGGCTATTCCGAATTTCCACTAATCTCATCAGTAACCAGACTTTTAACTAGATCCTATGTTCTATCTCAGGGTTTCCAATTAGGAGATGAAGCAGGCAGAAATGTACAGCAGTACTTTATTAATTTCATTTACTTATTTTCTGTGCGTGTGTATATGTTGGGTGTACTTGCTACAGCATGTGTGTGAAGATCAAAGGACAACTTGTATTCCATTCTCTTTCCATGTGGATCCTGGGGATCAAACTCAGGTTTTCAGGCTTGGCAGCAGGCACTTTTACCAGATATCTTACCGGCCCATACCCTTTATGAAACTCTTGCTATATACAGTTTGCCCCCATACCTTTGGGTTCAATATCCATAGATAAAACCACCTAGGCTGAATATATTCAGGAGAAAAATTTCCAAAAAGCAAAATTTGAATCTGCTGCTCAGCAAGCACTACACTGAATCCACCATAATGAAGTGATGCATAGGCACACCTGCTGTCACTACCACCACCGCAGATCAGTTTATTTCCAGCTCATGTTGTTTGGCCATCATTCGCCTCACGACTTACTTATGTACTATGTAGTCAGGCCTACCCTGGTCGTGTCGGTACCAGCATGTAAACTTTTATTCTTGACATTATTCCCTAAACAATACAGTACAGCCACCACGTATTTACATTTTATTAGGTATAAGAAATATAGAGATCATTTAAAGTATATGGAAGGGTATGTTTAGGTTATATACATAAATGTATGTCATCTGAAGTACAAAACGAGCGTCTGTCAATTCTGGTGTCCATATGGCATCCTGGAACTAATCCCCCGATAATACTGAGGGAGGGCTGTAGGTGAGCTTCATCTACAAATTTCAAACTTTAAAAATTAAAAGGGCTATAATACTCATAAAACTTAGTGGCAAGATAAAGACTACCCTTTGATCCTTTCACTTCGAAAAACTAATTTAATGCAATGCTGTTAATGCAGAAATTCATTCTGTATTTCAACATCAGTAAGATGACATTTGAGAACTGGACCAATAAAATTCTGCATTTTAAAACCCAAAGGAACACATCTTAGACACCTTAAATTAGAAAAATTCAATTCTAAGCAGGAAGTGTTACTGTGTAACAAATACTGCTCATATCCAAAGTGCTGGTGACAAAGAATTCAGTATGTCCTCCCCCCAAATTTGTTTGCAAATGTGTTTTACATACACATCCATCTATCTATAACTGTAAGATTTCAAATGTTTAAGGTGCTTAAAGGTTGCACTGCAGGACCAGTTCATACATAGTTATCTGCTACCTTTTCACAGTAACTGACCCAGACAAAAATGCAGTTACTTTCTACAGTGTGGCATTTGTGGAGCTGGGGCACCCTCTGTTGGTAAGGAAGAGGACACACTCATCAGCTCTCCTCCAAGTATTTTCTCATTGACTCGAAGTTCACAGCCATCCTGAAGCATTCGAACTGCTATCCGAGCAATATTCTTAGAGTCATCAAGACCACTGTGAGGCCGCCCATCGTAATCCATTCCTAGTTTTTCAAGCATTATTGTCAGTTTGGTTTGGCTTCTAGGAACCTGAAAAATAAAGTTTAGCAAATTATTTAGTGTTCGAAATTACAATATAAAGCCACAGTTAAATTGAAAAATCAGAAAAAAAATTATAGGTAATGGCAAAATAAAGCAAGGCAAAATTCTTGATCAAATGAAGCAAATACTTTGAGAGCTTTGAAAAATGAATCTTAGAATTTTAGCTGAAAATATAGACCTCTCAGATTACTAAAATCTTTGCAGTTCTGTAACTTAACAAATCACTTATTAAACAGAATGTGCTATTCTGTTTAGCTAAGCTTAAGTTTGTTTTTGGTTGTGTCAGGGTCTTGCTACACCCAGGCTGGCCTTGCCCTTGTGATCCTCTTGCTTCAGCTTCTTAAACGCTTGGATTACAGATGTATACCATCATGCCTGGCTATCTGTTTATGTGTGGTCCTGGGAACTGAAACCACATACTTGTATATGGCAGGTAAGCACCTGACCACTGACTTACATCCCCAGGCCCAGGAGCTACCTTTTCAACCCAAAATATTATTTTTTTCAGAGTTTTCTGTAATTTCTTAATTTGACTGACTCCTTGAGACACAAAGATGACTAAAAATTAGCAAAGAATGAAGAGAACATCATGCGGTATTGTCAACCTATTCAAAATCCCCCCGCCCCAATGAGACAGGGTAGTCCCATAGTCCAAGCTGGCCTGGAACTCACTATATAGACCAGGCAGGCCTCCAACGCACAGAAATCACCTGCTTCTGGCTCCCAAGTGCTGGGATTAATAAAGGTGTGCCCCACCACACCCAGCTCCTATTTTTTAAAAATACAAAAATTTCACATACATTTAAAAGTAACTTTAGGGCTGGGTATGCAACTCAGAGGGTAAAGCATTTGCAAAGCATAAGCAAGGCCCAAGTTTCATTCTCAGCACTGCAAAGAGAAATGGAAAAACAAACAGAACATTACCAATATGTTGGATAAGTTAGGTAGAAAGGACAAATTCCTGGACACGATACAACTTGCTAAGACTGAATTATAAGGGAAACATAAAATGTGAGCATATCTACACCTAGAAAGAAGACTGAATCAGTAACTGAGAATTTCCTAATATGGAAAGGTCTGAACTAGATGGCTTCACTGTCAAACACCAAATACCTAAAGAATTAACACCTGGAGTTGAGAGACATACTCAGTGGGTTAAAGCACTTGCTGTTCAAGTGTGAAGACCTGAGTTTCGGTCCTCAGAATCTACATAAAAGCCAAGTGGGTATGGCAGCCTGCCTGTAATCCCAGCATGAGAGAGAGAGGAGAGAGAGAGAGGAGGAGGAGGAGGAGGAGGAGGAGAGAGAGAGAGAGAGAGAGAGAGAGAGAGAGAAATATTCTAAAACTAAGGAAGATTTATTTCTGAACTGCAAGAATAGTCCAACATGAAAATTAATGTAACATGCAATATTAAGGAAAATGGAGAAAACCACATCACCACCTCTGTGGTGGTTTGAAGAGGAATGCCCCCACCACCCCCATAGCCTCCAAGTTCTGAATACTTGACCCCAGTTGGTGGCACTGTTTGCAGAGGTTTAGGAGGTGCAGTCTGGCTGGAGGAAATGTGTCACTAAAGGTAGGCTTTGAGTACATAGCCTTGCCCACTTCCTGTTTCTCTCTCTCTCTCTGCTTCCTGTGCCTGCTAGAAGATGTGGGAGAAGAGGTTTTTGCTCCTGCAGCCTCCTGCCATGCCTCCCCTGACATAATGAACTCTTACCCCCTGGGAACCATAGGCCCAATAAACTCCTTCTATAAGTTGCCTTGGTGTTTTATCACAGCAACAGAAAAACAATACAGCTGAAGTAGGAAGATTCATTTTACAAAATTCAACCAGCTTTCAGGGTAAAAACACTAAAAAAACATAAAGATCCCTCAACACAATAAAAGCTGAACAGTTTCCACAGCTAATATCAGTCAATGGTAGAAGCCTGAATGCTTTTCTTCTACGAATGAAAACAAAATATCCGCATTTCACTACTTCTTTTCAACTAAGTATTGGAAAGTCCTACCCGGGACAATTAAGCAAGATAGCACCGAGAAAGGGAGAAGTAAAATTACTTTTATTTGCAAATGACATCATATGTAGTATCCTTAAAATGTCCTATTAGAACTAATAAAAAGTTGTGAGATCAAAATCAACACACAAAAACATTATGTTCCTATCCACGAACAATGAATAATCCAAAATGGAAATTAAAAAATCAAACCCCAGGCCAGATATGGTGGCATATGCCTTAAATCTCAGCACTCAGGAGGCAGAGGCAGGCGGCCTGTGATACGAGGCCAGCTTGGTCTACATACCAAGTTCCACCTGTCTCAAAACAAAACAAAACCCACTTAAAATATGAAGATTTTAAGAGCCAGGGGTGGTGCATGACCATAAGGAAACAAAGTCTTGCAGGCTCCTGGGACCTTGTTCATATGAACTTACAGCAATGATGACAGCATGTACAAGACCCATGCAAGCTCAATTAGACAAAAAGCCAGCACAGAACTGGGGAAATGAGGGACTGGAGAGTTGGCTCAGCGGGTAGAACAAGGGCCCAAGTTCGATTCCCAGCACCCACATGGTGGCTAACAACTTTAACTCCAGTTCCAAGGGAATCTGATGTCTCTTCTGACTTCTGTGGGCACTGCACAAAAAGGGTGTACTTACACACATGCAGGCAACACATTCATACACATAAAATAAAAATTAAAAAACAAAAAAAAGAACACGGGAAATGGGTAGGAGGCCCCAACTTTACCCAAGCAACTATTGGCAGCTGATCACTGCTGGGTGAGGGAGACTTAATCTTCTTTTAAGGGAGTGGTGCTAGATAGGCTGATGAACTCACACCAAGGGACACCTGGGTACACAAACTTGACATACCAAAACTGGTAGGTTGGCTATGGGTAGGGTGCAGGTAGGGGAGAGGGCCTAAATATGATTAAGTTGTATTGTATGAAATACACAAAAATTCAATAAACTGTATATTGAAAAAAATTCTCTCCCCATATATGTGTATATACATATATATACATACACACACACACACACACACACACACGTGTGCGCACACACAGATTTTTTTTTTTTTTCTTTAAAAGAGTTAGACATACTGGCACACACATTTAATCCCAGCACTCAGGAGGTAGAGGCAGAGGCAGGAGGATCTCTGTGAGATCAAGGCCAGTGTGGTCTATGTAGTGAGTTTCAGGTCAGCTGCAGCTACAGGGAGACCCTGCCTCAAATAACCAACTAATAAATACATTTGACTAGGAAGAATAACATCTACATAAGGAGAGCTACAAAATGCCACAAAATTTTACTTTTTAAAGTTATTTTTATTTTATATTTATAGTTTGGTATGCATGTGCATAGGTGTAACCGTGCATGCAATGCCTAAAGTCAGAAAAGGACGTTGGATCACCTGGAACTGGAGTTATGGTTAGCCACCACTTGAGTGCTGGGAACTGAACTCAGGTCCTCTGCAAGAACAGCCAGTGCTCTGAAACCTGAGCCACCTCTCCAGTCCCCCTCCCGCCCAAGAAATTTTAAAAGGCACCAATAAACACAAAGACAATCCCTATTTATGGATTCTCAGATTTAATATTAAGATGTTAGCATTAGGGGCTGAGAAGATGGCTCAGTTGGTGAAATCCTTATCATACAAGTACATAGACCGAAGTTTATATCTCCAAGTGCCCATGTAAAACCCAAGTATGGCAGTGTGGGCCTCTAACCAAAACATGGTGGGATAGGGGTAGAAACAACAGGATCCCTGATGCTTACTGGCAACCAATCTAGCTGCATCAGTGAGCTCCAGGTTCAGTCTAAGACCCTGCCTCAAAAATACAGTGGACAGTGACTAGGAAGATACTTGAAGTCAACCTCTCTGGTCTTAACATGTACACTCACATGCATATGTACCCACCCCCACACACATGAACACACAAAGTGATCTAGAGTCAATGTTCTGCCTATCAAAATCCCAACCCTTTCCTTTTGTAGATAAAGACAATTCCATCTTAACACTAAAATAGAAACTTCTTGTTTGGGTTTTTAAAATATTTATTATTTTTTACTTTATGTGTATGCCTACAGGTGTATAAGTACACCCAGATTGTGCAATCCTTGCAGAGGTCAGAAGAGGGGGTTGTATTCCCCTGGAATTGGAGTTGTGGATTGTTACTAGCCACCATGTTGGGTGCTGGAAATCAAACCCGGGTCCTCCGCAAGAGCAGTCAGTGTTCTTGTCTGCTGAGCCAACACTCCAGCCCTGTTGTCTGGTTTTTTGAGACCAAGCCTTACCACGTAGCCCCAGCTGTCCTGGTATTCAATATGTAGAGCATCCTAGGCTGGCCTTGACTTACAGCAATCCACCTGCAGAGCCTCTGAGTGCTGGGACTAAAGGTGTGGAAAACCATGCCCAGACTTCATACAAAATTTTGATGGACTCCAAATAGCCAAAACAATTTTTAAAATTAAACAACAACAACAAAAAAAGTTGGGAGGACTCACATATCCCAATTTCAAAATTTACTATAAAGCTCAGTAATCAAACCAGTATGTATCAGTATATAGATGTAGAAAGACTAATAGAACAGATTAGAGACTCCACAGGTAAATGTCCTTCACAGTCAAATGACTTTTAACAGGAGTACCAAGATCACTAAGTAAGGAAAGAGCAGTCTTGTACATGCAAATGAAGTGGGACACTTACCTTATATAAAAATATTAAATCAAAGACTTAAAACACAAGACCTAAAATTACAAAACACTTAGAACATAGATTTGACAATGATTTCTTGGATATAATACAACACAGTAATTAAATGAACCAGACTTCATAAGAAATTTAAGACCTTTGTGTATCAAAGGTTATTATTATAGTGAAATGGCATTAATAAAAGTAAAATGCTTCAATAAGCAAGTTTCAGCAATTCAACTTTATAACAATTATAAATAAATCTGTTAAAATTGTCTGGACGATGCCAACAGTTTG